AAAAAAAAAAAAAATATTAGTAGCTATTCTTTATTGAGTTTTTAAAAAATCAACATTGGGCTTTGTTCTTGCTAGATAGGTGCCCCACCATTTGAGCCATGCCTGAAACTTCAGCCCATATCTGAAACATTTTTTTCCAGTCCTGGGGCTTGATCTCGGGATTGGGCACTGCCCCTGAGCTTCTCTTGCTCAGGGCTAGCTCTCTACCACTTGAACCATAGCACTACTTCCAGCCTTTTCTGTTTATGTGGTACTGAAGAATTGAACCTAGGGCTTCATGCATGCTAGGCAAGCACTCTACCACTAAGTTGCATTCCTAGCCTCTGAAACATTTTTTAAAAAACAATTATATTGTATCTGGTAGTTGCTAGAGTTATGATTGTAAGGGGCATAAATGTTTTTTCTATTTCTTTCTCCTCTTTTTAGTACTTTTTACTTTGTTTTGTCTAGGTTTTACAGCTACTTTGGATGATGACAAACCTTGGTATTCCATTTTTCCCATTGACAATGAGGATTTGGTATATGGACGCTGGGAAGATAATATCATTTGGGATGCTCAAGCTATGCCCTGCTTGTTGGAACCTCCTGTTTTGACTCTTGATCCCAATGATGAGAATCTTATTTTAGGTATGTCACTGGCAGAGGCCAGTGTTCTTTGTCCATCTTTGAAAGATCTGCTAATGAAGTCAAAGAGCAAGAAGAAATCACAAAAGTTGGAAAAGGTCAAAATTAGAAACTACCCAATAACACTTTGAGAGAGCAGGGTTGTTGATGTCATTTTCCAGTATTTCTATTCTCAAAGAAAACTCATGTAGGAATATTGAAAGTAGCACCTTTAACATGTCAAGCACATACTTTTATCACCTTGAATTATGGACTAGAAGTGTTCTGGGTGTGAGATCTAGTTAAGAACTGGAAAAATGCCAGTGAAAAAAATGTAGATATTCAGAAATCCAATTCCAGAGTCTTTTGCATTTCATTCTCAGAAATTCCTGATGAGAAGGAAGAAGCCACTTCTAATTCTCCCTCCAAAGAAAGTAAGAAAGAATCATCTCTGAAGAAGAGTCGAATTCTCTTGGGGAAAACAGGAGTTATTAAGGAGGAACCACAACAGGTATGTGAGGACAAAAGGGACTTGGTGTTTATAAGAACAAAGACAATGAGGAAGGTAGTCTGACTGAGATTTGTTTGATGATTTATCATTAGAACATGTCTCAACCAGAAGTGAAAGATCCATGGAATCTCTCAAATGATGAGTATTACTACCCCAAACAACAAGGCCTTCGAGGGACTTTTGGAGGAAATATTATCCAGGTACAAATTCCATTTTTTCTGTTGTGGTAATGGGGAACCTGCTGCTTTGCTCTGATGTAAAATATGGGGAAATCTAACCTGGAATGATTCACTCATATTCTGAATCTTCTCTGACCTCTTTTAGCATTCAATTCCTGCTGTGGAATTACGGCAGCCCTTCTTTCCTACCCACATGGGACCCATCAAACTCCGACAGTTCCATCGTCCACCACTGAAAAAGTATTCCTTTGGGGCATTATCTCAGCCAGGCCCCCATGCAGTTCAGCCTTTACTAAAGCACATCAAAAAGAAAGCCAAGGTATGGTTGACCCATGGATAGAAATATTGTTTTATTTTATTTTATTTTATTTGTGAAGATACTGTACAAAAATGTTATAGAGGAAATAATTCTGGGTATTAACTTGTTTTAGAAAATTATTTTCTCATGTGATAGAATACTGTTTTGGTTATTTAGGAGAGTGTCTTTATTAGAACATGCATATAAAAATACCTTAAAGGTAATGTGTCATAATGACTGCAACTTTTAAAAATGTTCAACTAAAACCTATAGAAAGATAATTATAGATAAATTTGGGAAAATATTAATCTCTAGATAGAAGGATAATAGGTATTCATATTTTCAGCTTTACTAAAGTTAGAAAATTTTCACAGTGAAATTCAAAAATAAGATAAAGTATTTTTGATACTTGAATTAGATTGTCATCAGTGTATATATTATCTTGTCAGGAACGAGACTGTGTTTTCTTTGTCTTTCACAGATGAGAGAACAAGAGAGACAAGCTTCAGGTGGTGGAGAAATGTTTTTTATGCGCACACCTCAGGACCTTACAGGCAAAGATGGAGACCTTATTCTTGCAGAATACAGTGAGGAAAATGGGCCCTTAATGATGCAAGTTGGCATGGCGACCAAGATAAAAAACTATTACAAACGAGTGAGTCTGTGCTAAAAAAATCTTTGTTGTTAATATAGCTGAAGATATTTAACAATAATCTATGAACATGTGTTTTATCTTTATATAGTTTTTATATTTTATCTTAATATTAGTGAATGCCATGCTTATGGAACATTATACATATATGTGTGTATATATATAAATAAATAAATATATGTATATATTAATGTGTTCATTATAGTAACTGAGTTTGCTGTTTGTCTCATAGAAACCTGGAAAAGATCCTGGAGCTCCAGATTGTAAATATGGGGAAACTGTTTACTGCCATACATCTCCTTTTCTGGGCTCTCTCCATCCTGGCCAATTACTACAGGTGATGAATTCTTTTCTATTTTTACTCTCTCCTAAGGAAATTGATAGAAAGAAACTGACTTTGACAGAGAGAATAACTTCAGCTGATTAAGATACTACTCATATATCAAATATGGAGAAAATCATAATGCAAAATTATTTTTCTTGAAACTGGTTTCTAGTTATGTTATATATTTAGTGTAAATACAATTTTTGAATACACAGGGATAAGATCAGTAATATCTGGATGGTTTAGGAAGTCAACCTTGGATTAATGTAATATAGTTTATGAATATTTTAAATTCTATATGTGAAATTGATATATTTTGGTGACTGGAGATGCTGCTTGGTAATAGAGGGCTTGTCTGCTGTGTGAGGGCCTGAGTTCTGTTTCTAGCATTGCAAAATAAATGGACAAATTTGTTCACAATTAGTTGTGATCAATGTGTTTTCCTACCATAGTGAAATGTTTCCTTTTTCTTCTTTGTTTGAATGGGTATAGAGAGCCACTCTGTTGAAGCTTGTGCATCTTTGTTTTTTGGGTCTTGGGTCTTGAACTCAGGACCTGAACTATCCCTAAACTTCTGTGTTCAAGGCTAGTGTTCTACCACTGGATCCACAGCTCCACTTCTGGCTTTTTTGGTAGTTTATTGGAGATAAGAGTCTCATAAACTTCCCTGCGTGGTTGGATTTGAGCCAGGATCCTCAGATTTCAGCCACCTCACCTAGGATTACAGACATGAGCCACTGGTACCTGGCAGCTTGTGTATGTATCTTTTTTTTGGGCGGGGGCGGTCGTGGGGCCTGAACTCTGGGCCTGGGCACTGTCCCTCAGCTCTTCAGCTCAAGGCTAGCACTCTACTACTTGAGCCACAGCACTACTTTTGGCTTTTTTTGCTTTTTTTGATGTTAAGGTCTTTAATCCATTTTGAGTTGATGTTGGTGCATAGTGATAGTCTGGGGTCCACTTTTATTTATTTATTTTTATTTATTTATTTATTTTTTTTTTTATTGTAAAGATACTATACAGAGGGTTACAGTTACATGAGTGAGGTAATGAGTACACTTCCTCTTGAACATTGTTAGCCCCTCCATTGTTTTCCCCCTATGGGGTCCACTTTTAGTCTTCTGCATGTGGCCTCCCAGTTTTCCCAGCACCAGTAGTTGAAGAGGCTGTGTTTCTTCCACTGTATGTCTTTGGCTCCCAGGCATGTGGTTTTATTTCTGGATCTTCTATTCCATTGGTCTTTGGATCTGTTTTTGTGCCAGTACCATGCTGTCTTTGTTATTAGGTTCTATAATAGAGTCCGGCATGGAGATCCCTCCCATGTTGTCTTTTTTGCCTAGAATTATTTTGGCTATTCTAGGTCTTTTGTTGTTCCATATGAATTTTTGGACTGTTTTCTGTATTTCAGAAATGTATGTCATTGGGATTTTAATAGGAATGGCATTGAATTTATGTATTAATTTTGGCAGTATTGCCATTTTTACTATATTAAGCCTGCCTATCCAAGAGCATGGAAGGTCTTTCCATTTCCTGGTGTCTTCTGTAATTTCTTTCTTTAAGTTTGTGTAGCTTTTGTTAAATAGTTCTTTTACATCTTTGGTTAGGTTAATTCCTAAATTTTTTTTTGGGGGGGGGTTATTGTGAATGGGGTTGCTTCCTTTATTTCCCTCTCTGCTTGTACATTGTCAGTGTACAGGAAGGTAACTGATTTTTGTGGGTTGATTTTGTATCCTGCTACTTTGCTGAAATGATTAAATTTCTAAGAGTTTGGAGATGGAGTTTTTGGGATCATGAAGGTATAGTATCATGTCATCTGCAAAAAGGGATAGTTTAACTTCTTCTTTCCCTACGCGGATCCCTTTAGTGTCTTTTTCTTGCCTTATTGCCCTGGCTAAGGGTTCCAGGACTATACTGAAGAGGAGTGGAGACAGTGGGCATCCTTGCCTTGTTCCTGATTTGAGGAGAATTGATTGTAGTTTTTCCCCATTAAGTATAATATTGGCTATTGTTCTGTCGTCTATGGCTTTTATTTTATTTTATTTTTGTCTGTCATGGGGCTTGATCTCTGGGCTTGGGCACTGTCCCTGCGCTCTTCAGCTCAAGGCTAGCACTCTACCACTTGAGCCACAGCGCCACTTCAGGTTTTCTGGTAGTATATTGGAGATAGTCTCACAGACTTTCATGCCCTCATGCCCGGACTGGCTTTGAGCTGGCTTTGAACCGCTATCCTCAGATCTCAGCCTCCTGAGTAGCTGGGATTACAGGCGTGAGCCACCAGCTCACAAAGGTCTGGACTTTTCTGCCCAGGCTGACTTTAAACTTTGATCCTATGGATCTTCGCCTCCTGAGTAACTTGGATTACAGGCATGAACCATTAGCATCCGTCTCACTTTTTTATTTTTTAAAGTTTTTTTGTTGATACTCATAATAGACATTGGGTAAAAATATCTAACCTTACTTGGTATTCTATATGCTTATTTATTTTATTGAATAGACCTTAGAGCAAGGGTGGGAATTCTTTGTTTTGGAAAGGGCCCTTTGGATACTTAGAATATCATTCATGGGGGCTGGGAATGTGGCTTAGTGGTAGAGTGCTTGCCTAGCATGCATGAAGTCCTTGGTTCAATTCCTTAGTACCACATAAACAGAAAAAGCCAGAAGTGATGCTGTGGCTCAAGTGGCAAAGTGCTAGCCTTGAGCAAAAGAAGCTCAGGTACAGTGCCCAGGTCCTTTGTTTAAGCCTCAGGACTGGCCAACAAAAAAAAAGAACATCATTCATGGGTCATCCAAAATTATCAATACAGGCAGCCAGCAAGAAACAAACAAGAAGCATGGGTATCTGTCCCACCATGTACCAAATGATTTCTTGGGCCATATGTCCCCCTACCTTAGATAATCTAATGAAGTTAAGAAAGCAAGTTGGGTACTGGTGGCTCACTACTGTAATCCTAGCTACTCAGGAGGCTGAGAACTGAAGATCATAGTTCAAAGCCAGCGAGAGCTGGAAAGTTACTATGAAACTCTTAGCTCTAATTAACCACTAGAAAATCTGAAGTGGTGCTGTAGCTCAGCGTGGTAGAGTGCTAACCTTGAGCAAAAGTGCTCAGAACATGCCCAGGCCCTGAGTTCAAGCCCCATGACCAACAAAAAAAAGCTTGATTTCCTTCTTACTACTTTATTAATTTCCTAGATTAATATAATTTTTGTGTTTTTATTTGTTAGGCTTTTGAGAACAACCTTTTTCGTGCTCCAATTTATCTGCATAAGATGCCAGAAACTGACTTCTTGATCATTAGAACAAGACAGAGTTACTATATTCGGGAACTGGTGGATATTTTTGTGGTTGGCCAGCAGTGTCCCTTGTTTGAAGTTCCTGGGCCCAACTCAAAAAGGGCCAATACGCATATTCGAGACTTTCTACAGGTAAGAATGGAGGAATAAGATGCACATAAAAAGTGTGTGTGGCCGGGCGCTGGTGGCTCACGCCTGTAATCCTAGCTACTCAGGAGGCTGAGATCTGAGGAACATGGTTCAAAGCCAGCCCGGTCAGGAGAGACCGTGAGACTCCTATCTCCAATAAACCACCAGAAAACCGGAAGTGGCGCTGTAGTGGTAGAGCGCTCGCCTTGAGCTGAAGAGCTGAGGGACAGCGCCCAGGCCCAGAGTTCAAGCCCCATGACCGACAAAAAAAAAAAATGTGTGTGTGAAGGGGGATTTGGAATGTAGCTCAGTGGTAGAGTGCTTGCCTAGCATCCATAAAGCCCTGGGTTTGATTCCTCAGTACCACAGAAACAGCTGCAAGTGGCGCTGTGGCTCAAGAAATAGAATGCTAGCCTTGAGCAAAAGAAGCTCAGGGACAGTACCTAGGCCCTGAGTTCAAGCCCTAGGACCAACAAAGAAAAATGTGTGTGTGGGTTCCAAGGAATGTTAGGAAAGATGAGACCTAATCAGAGTTGACCAGGAGAAAGGAGCCTTGATGAGAACTTCTACTCTTTACCTGATAACATACTTTTGTTTTATTGGGCAGGTTTTTATTTATCGCCTCTTTTGGAAGAGTAAAGATCGGCCACGGCGAATCCGAATGGAGGATATAAAAAAAGCCTTTCCTTCCCATTCAGAAAGCAGCATCAGAAAGAGGCTAAAGCTTTGTGCTGACTTCAAACGCACAGGTTATCAGTGTGGCTACTTTTTTATCTTCTAATTTTTTTCTAATTCCAAAGATTTACAATGATTTTCAATTAAGCAATAAACATGTATCTAGTAAAATAGGAAATATTGGCTGTCAGAATGGCTGGGAAGGTAGCTTTGCATGCTTTGCATGCATGAGGCCCTAGGTTCAATTCCTGAGCACCACATAACCAGAAAAAAAAAGCCAGAAGTAGTGCTATGGATCAGGTGGTAGAGTGCTAGCCTTGACAGTGCCCAGGCCCAGAGTTCAGGCCCATGACCGGACCCCCCCACCAAAAACAAACAATCAAACAAGTATGTGAGGCCCTATGCAGGGTGCTGGTGGCTCACCTGTAATACTAGGTACTCAGGAGGCTGTGATCTGAGGATAATGGTTCAAAGCCAGCCGGGGCAGGAAAGCCCCTGTGAGACTCTTATCTCCAATAAAACCACCATAAAACTGGAAGTGGCACTGTGGCTCAAGTGGTAGAGCACTCACCTGGAGCTGAAGTGCTGAGGGACAGTGCCCAGGTCCAGAATTCAAGCCTCACAACCAACCAAAAAAAATGAGGGCCTGAGTGCAAGCTCCAGCACTTGTGTGCACGCACGCACACGTGTGCACACACACGTGCATGCAGGAGAAGGTAGCAAATCTTATAACCGTAGAAATGTAGGCTCTTTAGTTTTCTTAATATAATTTTGTTTTTTGTTGGTTGTGGGGCTTGAACTTAGGGACTTGGGTGCCATCCTTGAGATTCTTTGTGCACAAGGCTAGCGTTCTACCACTTGGGCTACAGTACCACTTCTGGTTTTTGAGTGGTTAATTGGAGATAAGAATCTCACAGGGACTTTCCTGCCCCGGCTAGCTTTGAGTCATGATCCTCAGAGCTCAGCCTCCTGAGTAGCTAGTATCATTGGTGTGAGCTACTGGCACCTGACTTTTTTTTTGTCAGTCCTGGGCACTGTTCCTGAGCTTCTTTTGCTCAAGGCTAGCACTCTTATTTGAGCCACAGTGCCCCTTTTGACCTTTTCTGTTCATGTGGTACTGAAGAATTGAACCCAGGGCTTCATGCTCTGGGCCTGAATGCTGTCCCTCAGCTCTTCAGCTCAAGGCTAGTGCTCTACCACTTGAGCCACAGCACCACTTCCGGTTTTCTGTTGGAGATAAGAGTTTCACAGACTTTCCTGCCTGGGCTGGCTTTGAACCATGATCTTCAGATCTCAGCTTCCTAAGTAGCTAGGATTACAGGTGTGAGTCACTGGCGCCTGGTTGACATGTTTTTTTTTAAATAAAATTTTATTGCTATTATTAACGTGTTGTACAGAGGGGTTACTGTTGTATGTCAAATAATGAGTTCATTGCAGTTTTTGGACGTCAACTCCTTCACTTTTACCCTTTCATCCTTGCCCACAAGTTATATAGGTCATTTTCAACATAGTGTATACTGAATGACATGATAGCATTTGTTCAACCTTCCTCTCTCCCTTTCTGTATCCACCTCTCCAGCAGAAAGGGAAAAAAAAACAAAGCAAAAATGTCACCACCACCAATAACAACATAAAAAAGGAGAGGGTAGCAACTGTTACGTAACAGTGGAAGTGGAGACTTTGACTATCCTTTAAAAACACAGTATTGGGGCTTGAATTCAGGGCCAGGGTGGTCCCTTTAGTTTTTTCACTCGAGGCTGGCATTCTCCAACTTGATCCACACCTCCACTTCTGGCATTTTGCTTGTTAATTGGACTTTCCTGCCTTGGCTGGCTTTGAACTGGTATCCTTAGATCCTAAGGATCCTGAATATCTAGGATTACAGGTATGAACCACGGCTCCAGACTGACTTTTTGACAATTAGTTGCTGAGAAACTCTGTGCAATTTGTTTTATATCAGATATAAGAAAGCTAGTAGGGTTTTTCTTACCCAGTGAGTTATGCTGTTGCCATCTAGTTCAGTGCTTGCTGTCTTTAAAGTATTAGTCAATGAATGTTGGAACTTTCAGAATTCAGGACAATTTCTGTCTTTTCCAGGGATGGACTCAAACTGGTGGGTATTGAAGTCTGATTTTCGTTTACCAACAGAAGAGGAGATTAGAGCTATGGTATCACCAGAACAGTGCTGTGCATATTATAGCATGATAGCTGCAGAGCAGCGATTGAAGGTAAGTACATTCTTAAGCCTATGATTCTTTTCAGAACCATGGAGAAGACTTTTCCCAGGCTTAGAGGTGGTAGTTATTAGATTATTACCAGTAATTAAAATATTCAAACTATATGAAGTATTTCTATCTATATAAATCATGGGGCAAACTGCCCCATGAAGTGTGAGGGCTCCTTGGGGAATGCAGGGCATAGTGTTTTGCTTTGAAAATGCTTGTTCAGACCTGAGTACAAGTGGCTCATGCCTATAATACTAGCTACCCAGGAAACTGAGATCTGAGGATCATGGTTCGAAAACAGTCTGGGCAGGAAAGTCCGTGAGACTCTTATCTCCAATTAGTTACAAAAAAAAGCTGAAAGTAGAGCTGTTTCTTTTTTTTTTTTTTT